ACCTCCTTCCCAACCTGCTCTCGAATGTATGTGGTGTGATGTGCAGGCACTATGCAGGAAAGGACTACGACAGCATATAGTACGCACGCACTACAGTGCAGTACACATGGTGGAACGACTCATGGGGGAGGGAAGTATTTGCATGGCATGCGCAGTGCAGCTCTCAGGACGAAGGCTATTGAGAGATCATCTCGCCTTCGACTCGCCCAGATGCAATGTGGGGTACCGCATGCACGGAGCAGCTTTAGAGCCATATCGAGCCAAACAACTAGCCCTACAGGACGTAGAGGACAATAAACAGCAAAACCGACTCGGGCAAGGACGGTGGAGGGCGGCGTATCCAGCACAGATCTGCATACCAGAACACGGCCTATATCCTGCAACCATGCTTGATTTCTCACAGGTTGACGACAAGGAAGCTCGGAAGCTGCTCCAAAAAGCGGAAAACTCACATGATCCCAACACTTATCCGAGCTTCCGAGCCATCTTCGTGCAGGCAGGCGAGGAAGCTCCAGAGCACTTGAGAGTTCGATTTGCCGATCGCTTCCAGAAGTTTCGCACTCACGACTACCAGCAGCCAGCAGCCAGCGTCAGACATGCTGCCGCGGAGAGTGCATCGCACAGAGATTTGTGTTAGCAACATGTTCTCAGGGGAGCGTGGAGCAGGAGATATGCAAACATGGATCGAAGGGGAACGACATACGGCACAATATCAGATAGCTACGTTGTGCGTGGACATTGCCATAGACCCACAGCTAGGCGACCTCACCAACCAAGATACCATACCAGAATGGGCCACACACATCCTGGCACGACGTGTGTGGAATACGGGTGGGGGGGCCCCGTGTGAAACCTGGTGTGCTGCACGTTGGCACGAAGGATGCCCCTTCCTTCCGCACCCAGGAATGGTTTGGGGGAGTACCTTGGGCCACACCTCGTCAGCCTCCCCGATTAGACATCGGCAACAGGCTCATGTGGTTGGGCTGTCATATTACCGCAGATACTGCGGGCTGGTTTGATCATCCACAACTAGCAGTGTTGCAGGCTACTATGGCGGCCCCGACGACGACAACGGTGAATTTCGACCGGTGCATTCACCAAGACCTGGACCCCACTACCATCGGCAGGGCTCCCACGAGGCTCCTTGGCATATGTCTCCCTGGGCTCCACCAACGGCTTCATGGAAGGTGTCCCCACCCTGAGGGCTCCCATCAGACCCTATTAGGCAAACGACACGACGGTACGTTTCGGACACATTAGAAGAAGACCTACCCGCCTCGCATGTGCCAAAGACTTGCAGAGACCATTCGTGATTCCATTGCCTCCATCTTTCGTGAGGCAGGAGCTGATGAAGAGGCCGAGTGTGACGACGCAGAAAGGCCTGTCACACTAAGAGCATTTTGTGTGCAAGACATCGATCAGGAGTTCGAGGAGGCCCCCGACTTCGCCCCGGCTAAAAACAGTGCCCGATCCAAGCGTGCGGACCCAGAGGCCTCCAGATTCACAGACCCCTCTCGATGATGCTGCTCAGAGCTCCACGTGTGCTCCTGCTCCTGCTCCGACCCCGGCCTCCGAGGGCCCTCCCCCCCCCCTCGCCCACAGGCCCCCTCGGAGGCCCTCGAGGAGCAGGAGCTCGTGGCTGCCCGCGGCCTCCTTGGCCCCCCTCCCCTCTCCTCCCCGCCGCGGCCGCCGCCGCCGCCGCCCCCTCCCCTCCCCTCTCGCCCGAGCCGCTCGCCCGCACCGCGGCTGAGCCGGGAGAGGCGGCGCGCCGGCGAGCCGGGAGGCCAGAGCTGCCGCTCGTGCGGCGCAGAGGCCGCCCGCGCCCTGGTGCTGCGGCCTGTGCGCCGTGGGGAGGCCCCCCTCTCACCCTGAGCTCGACGGACTCGCTAAGCGAACCGGGGTGCCACAGTCATGGTGGCATCGGGCCTCACTTCTTCCAGCCTCCCCAGGGGGGTAGGCAGGCCCTCTTTCAGAACACGGGCAGCAGCTCCAAGTCAGCGTCTCACACACCTGTCTCCTCCCCCTCCTCCGCCTCCTGCTCCTCAACCTCCTCCCTCCTCCTTTCCCCCCCCCCTTTTTCCCCTCCTCCCTATCCCCCTCGATCCTCCGTATTCTCCCCCCCCTCTCTCGCTCATCTTGTCTCCCTCTCTGTTGCCCTGCATCTTCCCCTCCACTCACTTTCTTCTCCCTCTCCCCCCGCCTCGCTCCTACTCCCTTCCTGCCTCCTACCCCCCTCCTCCTCCACCTGCGGCGCAGGCATTTGCAGACGAAGGCATCCGCCGCGATTAAACCCAAATCCACCCCGCTCGTCCCCTCCTTTCTTCTCCATCCCCCTTCCCTCCCACGCCCTTCCATCCTCCCTTCGACTCTCTTATTCCCTTACCCTCCTCCACCCTCCTCGAAACTCTTCCCCGCCTCTCCTCTTGCCATCTTCCCTGCCTCCCTCCCTCCCTCGTCTCTCCACGTCCTCACCTCCCTCTTCCCTCTCTCCTCCACCTTTCCTCCCTCCGTGCTCCCTCCTCCCTCCCTGCCTCTCTCTCCTAGCTCCTCCTCCTCCTCCTCCTCCTCCTCCTCCTCCTCCTCCTCCTCCTCCTCCTCCACTTCCACGTCCCCGTCGCCCTCCCCCATCAGATGGCAGACTATTGCCCGGCGCGGGCCCATCGGGCGGGGTCACTGTACGCAGCAGGCGCAGTCCCTGCGCCCGTCGTCGGGCGGCCCCCCCGCTGGCCACACCGCCGGCGCGGCCGCTGCTGCGGCCGCCGCCGCGGCCGGTTCCGCCGCGGCTGGGGCAGCATCGGCTGCTGCTGCGCCCTCGCCCGCCTCGGCTCGCTGGCGGCCCCGGCCTCCGCGGCCCCCGCGCCCGCCGCGGCCGCCGCGGCCGCCGCGGCCGCCGCGCCCGCCCGCGGAGGGGCCCTCCTCCTCGGCAGGCACGGAGCCGGCGGCCGCCGCGGCCGCGGCCTCGGCGGCGAGGCGCAGCTGCAACGAGGAGGGCCCCCGGGCGCGGCTCTCGTCGAGGCGCTGCTGGGGGCGGAAGTCCCACGCGGAGACGGCGGCCACGGGCAGGTCCTGGACAGGCCATGCGGTGCCGATGACGCTGCAGTCGACCCGTATGGTCAGGATGCACGATAGGATGCAGGGGCCTTGGACGCCCATGTCGAAGCCTTTTGAGCGGGGCGCGGCCGACGAAAGTGGCCAAGGATGGACCGAGGAGGCAAGGATGCAAGGGTGCCCTTGGGAGGGTTGCCCATCCTTATTGTGCGGGTTGACTGTACGCCCTCCCTCCCTTCACCAGCTTCGAGCTTGCCCCTTATCCCTAAGATTGACTTCCCAAGGCGGTTACAATCTGAAGGATTCGCCATCAGAAATCGAGGGAACCCTTCAGGTCGCCACCGGGAGAAGGTGACGCCGATCTTAGGCACGGGGATATGTTCCAGGTCGGTCATCCCTCCCTCCCTCCACCCTCCATCGCTCCCAATGGCCTCCCCGATCCCCGATGCTTGGACCTCGATGCCCAGGAGAGGCGCCGATGGGCCGCCGATGGGCCGCCGATGCGCCGCCGAAGGGCCGCCGAGGGGGCCGCCGATGGCGGGCCGCCGAGGGGCCGCCGAGGGCAGCCGGCGGGGAAGCCCAAAGATGCGGACGACGCTCATCCCTGGACCCCTCCTGGGGCGCCCCCTGGCCAGGACTTCGGGGCAAGTCCCGGCAGTGGCGCCGAGGGCCTCCCTCAGCAGCAGGGGCAGAGGTCGAGGAAGCGGCAGCGGAAGCGCTGCCGATGCCGCGGGGGTGGGCAGAGCCCGCCCCCGCAGCAGAACGCCCGTAGCGAGATCGCCCCGGGACGGCACCCGGCGGGCGCAGCCCCGCAACAATTGCGGTCGCACCCCCCCCCCCCAGAATCGCCTTGGCAAGTCGTCGTCGTCGTCGTCGTCGTCGTCGTCGTCGTCGTCGTCGTCGTCGTCGTCGCCGTCGTCGTCGTCGGCGTCGGCGTCGGCGTCGGCGTCGGCGTCGGCGTCGGCGTCGGCGTCGTCGTCGGCGTCGTCGTCGTCGTCGTCGTCGGCGGCGTCGTCGTCGTCGTCGTCGTCGTCGTCGTCGGCGTCGGCGTCGTCGTCGTCGTCGTCGTCGGCGGCGTCGGCGTCGGCGTCGGCGTCGGCGTCGTCGTCGGCGTCGTTGTCGTCGTCGTTGGCTCAAGGGGGTGCACGATTTGTCCGCCCCGAGGGGCGCAACAAAGTAGAACCATCAACCCAACTCTGTACTTGTCGGGGCGCCTGCAAATGGCGGGGACGGCCGAGAACACGATGTCTCGCATCGAGGCAACTCGCAGATCGACTTGGCGGGGTGGGGGCTCCATCAAATGATTAACCAAAAAAGGACCCCAGATCTTTTGGGAAAGGAGCCAAGATAGGAGGGCCAAACACATTAGGGACAGGGGCTCCTTCCTGCAGCTGCATCGCACCACGCCGCCCAGATCGATGATCCCTGGTGCAGAGGCGGGGGCCCCAGTGGGGCCACGTCTCCACCGTGTTGTGTGGGCTTAGGGCATTTTTTTATTCTCCATGCTCGAGACCTCCCGCCGGCGGCCGCGTGGGGGGACTTCGCAGGCCCAGAGCCGATGTTTTCGAGACGCGGGCCCCCGACCCCCCGACCCTTTGCCCCGGGACCGGCTTTTCATCCCGGGTCGCTTTCTGGCGGTCTCGAGGCCCAGCGAGGGCCCCGAGAGGCCAAAAATTATATATATATATATACACATATATATATATACATATTTATATATATGTATATAATATATATATATATATATATATATATATATATATATACATTTATATAATATATGTGTATATATATATATATATATATTGCAAAAGCTCGGTCTCGATTTTCTTCGAGACGCCCGACGAGGTCCACGGCCGCCCGCGGCTGGCCCCCCACCGAGGCGCAGCCCGAGCCGCGCGCCGCGGCGGCCAGGAAGGCCCGCGGGGGCGCCCCGCCCGCGGGCGCCTCGCGCAGGAGCCCGCCGCACGCGGCGCGCAGGCGCGCCTCGTCCACGAAGGGCAGCAGCGCGACGCCCTGCCACTCCTTGTCGCCCTCCTTCTTGGGGCGCACAGGGACATGCCAGAGCTCTCTGTCCTCCTTGGAGGCGAAGAGCTTTTTGCGTCACCGATCGCTCTTTCTTTGGCGTCTTTGGGCCTTCTTGGGAGGCCTGTTGCGGCCCTTTGGGATCCCTTTTGGGGGGCCTCTCGGGGGCCTCTTGGGGGCCTCGTGGGGGGCTCGTGGGGCCTCCTGGGAGCTTCTTGGGGCGAAAGGCGTCCGACACGAGCAGATGTTAGACCCATCTTGTAGTGCATCGTTTCCAGAGCGGTGTGGCCAGGAAACGCCAGCCACCACGACGCATATACGATAGGATTTCTCGGTGGGGCGACGCACACATGGTATTAGTATGTTGGGGTGTCGCCCTCCTCTGGTCCATTGGCAGCTCATGGGGAGCCTCCCATACAGTAGGGGGCCCGACCACAAGAGACCTTCCACAGAAAACCCAAAAGCCTGAGACCCCCGGACGTCCCTTGAGTTTTGGTGCGGGAGCGTCACGCTCTCCATCGCAAAACCATTGTGCGCGCTGCCACCCGCCTTTGGGAGCCGACCGTTGTGGCGGCGCGCGCAAGGGGGGGGGCGGGGGATGCTTCGCAGAGCGCGTGCTCGAAGACAGTGGGGGGCTACGCGCAGTGGGGTGGAGGGAGGGGGGAAGGCTTCTCAGGAAGCGGCCGCTTCTGAGGAGGCGCTGGCAGAAGCTCTCCCCCCTCCCCCCGTGCCCCCAGGGACTCTTGGCCGGTTCCTTCCTCACCTTCCACTGCTTTTCTCGGCCTCCGGCCGAGGGTGCCCAGGCCAGTGGCAGCCTGTCGCCTACAACTACAACTTTGCGCGTGGCCGAGGCTAGAGGAGGAAACAACTACGCAAATAGAATGAACTTTCGATGGTCCGCTGGACCCCCCTCCCTGGCGCGCGGAGCGCGCCAGGGGCGGCGCCGGAGGCGCCGCCAGGTGGCCCCAGCGCGGATCCAAGACATCCCCGCGCAGACCGCCAATCTATGCGTGTGCTGCTTTTTCTGCTTCGAGAGACTGGGGGGCGAAGGCAGGCGCGGTCGGCAGCCAATCGAGAACGTTGGTCGGGCCGCATCTTGGAGGCGCGCACAAGGGGGTAGGGGGAGGGGGGAAGGCTTCTTAGAAGGAGGCTGCTTCTTAGAAGGCGCCGGCCTTCCATCTACAAAGAAGGCCCGTGCCTTCTAAGAAGCAGGGGTGCTTCTAAGAAGCCTTCCCCCCTCCCCCTACCCCCTTCTACGCGTGGCCAGGCATTGCGCATCGCAGCCGGCCACATATCGGCGAGGAGTCGGACTCGCACCGGGTCGACCGCCCCAGGACGCACCACAGCGCCCTGCAGGCACCGGGCTGCATCGGATCGCCGGCACACATCGGCGTCGAGTCGGATCGGCCCGGTCGAAGGCATCGAAGCGGATCGATCGAATTGACACGCAGGGGCCGGAGCTCTATACACCGACAGTTTTTCTGGCCCTGCACGTAAATAATCGCATAGGCAAGCGGATCCTGGTATCTACGGGATCCCAGCTCATACATGTTTCGTTGCTTCCCCCAGAAGAGGAGAACAAGGATACACCACACCACCCCGACGTCGTCCCCGATCCTCAAGAAGTCCTGGGGTTGAGCGGCAGCCCGCCATTGGTAATGAAGCTCTATGTTCCTGTTTCCGAACCTGGGCCTGCTGGGGTGGCCCACCACTGGTTCTGGCCAGCAGACAGGGGGGGGCAAGGGGCCAGTTTCGACCAGCTGGTCAGGTTCGTCCCTGGGGGGGGGGGGTCTGGAGACCGATTCGGAACAGCTTTGCCTTCGTCACCCCTCTCTTGACGGATCTCCTCGGGGCACCTCCAGTGCAGACGCCCCGGCCGCTTCCAACCCTCCTTGAGGTCGACCCCTCGAAGCCGCGGGAGGAGAGGCCGATAGCCGAGGGAAGCACAGCTGCAGAGGCACAGACTTTCGGAGCCCCGCGCGGACTTCTTGGACCGGCTCTGCTCCCCCCTCCATGGCGCGCGGAGCGCGCCAAAGGGCGGCGCCAGAGGCACCGCCAGGGAGGTCCCAGCGAAGATCCCAAGCATCTGCGCGAATAATAACACCTCCCGGCGCGGGGAATCTTATAATTTTGCCGAAGAGGGGAGGGTTCTGAAATACTTCCCGGGGTGGTGTCCATGCCATGTGTCGGCGGTGCGCAAGCATGGATTAGCAATCCATGGATTTGGCGCGCGGTCGCCAAATCCATGGATCCCAAATGCGGCCGGTGCCGCCTCGTTCGGCGGCGGAAGTCCGCGATTTCCCATGGAAGCGGGACTCGTCGCTAATCCACGCCCCCGTGATCTATGTTTGCGATCGCCTGAATTTGTCCTTCCTCGAGCTCGCCCGCTATCGGCCCCCCAGCCCCTCCCGGCGCCCCGACGCCCCCTGGTTTGCCGAGCTGTGCCCGGACTTGGCGACGAGGGAGCGCCCCGAAGCCCACCCGAGCGGCGGCAGGAAACGTGCCTTACTTGCGCAGGAGGACCTCGCGGCCACTCGCCGCGGCTGGCACGGGCCGCCAGCGTGGCACAGCGCCCAGGACCTTCCAGAGAGCTGTCTCGTAGCACTGGATGCCTAAGAACCTAAAAAACGGAACGAAACCTCCCAAAACCAAGACGTGGAATAGCTTCGGGATAGGTTTTCAAGTCCTGGCAGATGCGACCCCATGAACACGCTCCGCGCGGGACATCCGCGCAGAGCTGCCCTGCGCCCGTGTCGCAATCCAAGAGAGTCCGGGCCGCGAGGCCGTGGCTATGGATCGGCTGCGCGCCCAGGGGGGAAGCCAGAGGAGGCGGCCTTCTCAGAGGGCTCGGAAGTCCCCCGGGCCTTCGCAGAAGTCTTCTCAGCCTTCCCCGCAGACACGAGAAAGCTCTCAGAAGGCGCGTTCGAGGTGCCATCTTGTAGCCCTCCTGGAAGGTCAGGGGGGTGGAGACGCGGGCGCTCGCGAGCGACCCTGCGCGGGAAGCCTGCGCGCGAGCGTCCGCCCGGTCGACCCCGCTCCTTCCGTCGCTCCACCCCTGACCGTCCAGGAGGGCTAAAAACTAGCCCTGGACATAAAAAACCGATCCCGAAGAGATTCTACGCCTTGGCTTTAGGATGTTTCGTTCAGTTTGTTTAGGTGTTTAGGCCTCCGGTGCTAAAACATAGCTCTCTGGAAGTCATGGGCAAGCGTGCGCCGACACCGCTGCTCCCCCGGCCTCTCCCGGGTTCTGAACCATTCTAGGCGAAGCCAGCCGTGGCGACGAGGGCCTCCCAGGAGGCCTAGAGGGCAAAAACAAGGCAAGGGCAGCGGCATCGGTACCTTGCCCTGCACGGTTTCCCCTGGGGCCGTAGGCGATCCGAGGAGGAGGAGGAGGAGGAGGAGGAGGAGGAGGAGGAGGAGGAGAAGGAGGTGGAGGAGCAGAAAGAGGGACGACGAGGAGGAGGAGCAGGAGGAGGAGGAGGAGGTGGACGGGTCGCCTAAGACCTTTGGAAAAACCCTCCACCTTTCCCTCCTCTGATGTCCTTGAGGTCGACCTCGAAGTCGCGGGGGTAGAAGTCGCCCACCTCCGACGCGGGGTCCAGCAGGAGCCCTCGCATGGCCTCGGGCAGGGCTCGCCTCAAACGTAATGTTGTTTGTTCGTGCTGTCCTCTTTCACCTACTCCTACTCCTACTCCTCCTCCTTCTCCTCCTCCTCCTCCTCCTCCGCCTCATCCTCCGCCTCCTCCTCCTCCTCTCGTTCTGTCTTCGCTCCGCCTGTGCTTCAGAACGAGCTCGAAACAAAGACGGAGTACGAAATCGCCCAAAGCACTGTCTTAGCACCTCAGCTGCCCCGACGCGCAACGCGCAGCCCACAGCGTGTTGACACGCAGCTCAACACGTACATTCAAAACGTGCGCCTGGCTGCACACACTCGCCAAAACGTAGGCCCACATGGGGCGTTCAAAAAAAGGGCCCTGCCTTCGAGGATCGAAGGAGTTGGCATCTCTTTCGCGGCCGAAGGCGGCAGAAGGGCGGCAGAAGGTCGGCGGAAATAAGACGAGGCCGCCTCCGCCTGCGGAAGCCGGCGGAAGGCGGGCCGAAGGCGGCGGAGGTATAAAAAAAGCGCCCCCAAGAGATGAAAACGTTTCTGGATCCAGGGGTTACGAAACCATGCTGGACGGACATGGGACGCCCCGACCCGGCACGTCTTGAGCACGGAAGGGGTCGCGCTTCGACCCGGGCGTCTCAGCGCAGCTCGTCCTCGTCGTCGTCGTCGTCGTCGTCGTCGTCGCCGCCGCCGCCGTCGTCGTCGTCGTCGTCGTCGTCGTCGTCGTCGTCGTCGTCGTCGTCGTCGTCGTCGCTGCGGGCCCCGGGCCTCGGGGAGCAGGGCCGCCGACTGCGGGGGCAGCACGGCCAGCAGCTGCAGCACGGGGGGGAACGGCGCGTGCCGCGGGGGCGCCCGCAGCGGCTCGCCGCTCGCGGCGAAGGCCGCCAGGCTCGCGGGCGGTGCCAAAGGGGGGGGGATCACCACTCGGGGGGGGGGGCGGTCGCCGGATGATCCCGGGGAGCGAGGCTCCCAGGATCGGAGCTCGAGAAGGAGGAAACCTCTGGACGATTGGGGCCGTCCTTGTCATGTTTCTCCGAGCGCGAGCGGCAACCTCCGATGTTGAGGTCGCGGGGCGCAGGTGTACGGCAACACGCTTGCACGCGCTGCGCAGCCAAAATGCTACCACCTCTGTGCTTCGACCGTCGTCAGCACCTGATGCAGTGCTTGATGCATGCATGAAGGGTCAAAGGGTGCGAGCGAAGACGAGGGAAGCCAAGAGCGACCAGCGCGCCAAGCATGCCGGGAGCACGGAACGTCCGACACCAGGAGGAGGAGGAGGAGGAGGAGGAGGAGGAGGAGGAGGAGGAGGAGGAGGAGGAGGAGTCCTGGGGTTGTCCTGGGGGGGGCCCTCGAGTGCTCTGCGAGCCCTACTTCCTATAGGCAGCGGCGTGCGGCGCCCCCCATAGTTAAAGGAGCCCAGGGACACACAAATAAATAGACACAAATCCCAGGATTCCAATTTTTGTTCCCATATTTTCTGGGTGTTCGTCTTCCCCCCCACTTCTCGTATGACCTGTGTCTGTCTGTGTGTGTGTGTTTTCACCCTCCTGACTGGTGGTGGCCCCCCTTGGCACTGCCAGGGCTCACGCAGAGCGGCGGGTAGTGCGCTGGGTAGAACCACGACCAGGACGAGCACCCCTTCAGGTAGTACTGCAGCACCCACTCCACCCCGACCAGGAACGCGGCGCTCCGCTGGAGCGCGGTGCCCTCGGTGTCGTCGCCGCCCGGCGAGCCGGCCGCCGTCGGGCCGGCGTGCCGCGCGTAGAAGCCGTGCGCCAAGCTACGCACGGCGGCCGCAGCATCGCCTGCGGCCAGAGCAGCCAGAGCTTCGCGATGGATGGCCACGCGAGCCGGCGTCTCGTCGGCGCGGACACTGAAATCCTCCAGGGCCCGCACCATAGCCTCGTCGCCCTCGCCCTGAACCTCAAGGGTGGCCGACCCCCGAAGCATGTCGGCGACGGCGCCAGCGTCCTGACACCACACTTTCATACGGTTGAAGGTCAAAAAAACTTTGACTGGCACAAATCTGTCAGGCCGCAGGCGCACGTGCCTGCGGAGGAATGCGTCCTTGGGCAGGTTGTCACGGCCCAGCCAGAACTCGAAGTTCTCCCTGACGGCCTCCGCGAGAGCGGGCTGCCAGTCGGCCCGCCCGAAGGACTCCTCGGGCGAATCCACGAGCTCCTGCGTTTTGGGGTCAGCCCACCGCGGCCGAAGTATCTGCCCGCGCAATCTCGTGGTGGCCACGAGCGACCTCACGGCCGCGCCCGGGTCCACAAAGCGCACCAGCCACCTGGCGGGCTCCGTGCGTGCCCGCTCGCCCTGCTGGGCCGACCGCACCCGGTGCACGCTGCTCACCGCGCTGCCCTGCTTCTGGAGGTAGAACAAACTGCATAAGCATCAGCTGTCGGAGCTCCTCGCGGATTTCTCGGATCGGTGATGGGGCCTCCCTGCTGCCTGGCGCACCTCTGGTGCGCCAGGGTGTGCGCCGCGGGCAGCGCCGGAGGCGCCGCCAGAAGGTCCCAGCGCCGGTCAGGGAAAGCCAGCCGCGCGGACCTCCGGGAATCTATGCTTGTGCTGCGTTTGTTCTTCTTCGAGCTTCGACATGGCCTGGAGCACCTCCTTCGGAGCAAGGCGAGCTGAGACAGCGGCAACCCAAGATCGGCCCCTGGACCCCTCCGGGTAATCAGACCCATCGGCTTCCTGAGCTGCGTCCAGCCGTGGCGACCAGGCCCCCCCCCGAAGGCGAACTGCCGTTGCCTCAATTCTAAGGGGGAAGGAAAGTGGCATAAACATAAAAACTCGGAGGTCCGCGCGAATTTCTCGGATCGGCGCTGGACCCCCCTCCCTGGCGCGCGGAGCGCGCCAGGAGCGGCGCCGGAGGCGCCGCCGGGGGGCCCCAGCGCCGATCCGAGAACTCCGCGCGGACCTCCGAGTTTTTATGTTTATGTCACTTTTTGTTCCCCTTACATTCGCCCTTATCTGACTCCTGCTCCGAGGCCCTCGGGTTGCAGAACGGGATCAGCACGGACAGCCCGTCCCAGCGCGCGTCCGGCGGCTGCGGGCTGCCGGGCGCCTGCTTCTTCGGGGCGCCGAGGCCCAGCCCCTCGGCCTCGAGCAGCAGCTCTGCCTCGGGCGCCGCGAAGTGCTCCAGCAGGGCACGCAGCCGGGGCATGTCCAGCGCGAGCTCCTCGGTGACGAGGTGCCCGAGGCGCGCGGGCTCGAGGGCCTGGTAGGCCTGCAGCAGCAGCTCGATGCCGCCGTTGTAGATGTCCAGCGCCCCGACGTGCGGCAGGAAGTCGTTGCCGGCCAGGCAGCACATGGCCGCGAAGTCCGTGCAGACCCGCGGCACGCTGCAGCCTGGCAGCTGGCGGCCGAGCCAGGAGCGCACCTTGCCGATGTCCAGGAACTCGAAGTCGGAGGCGGTCATGCAGGGGTCCACCCCTGCACCCGCGGCCCCGCCGCCGCCCGCCGGGGGGCCCGCCGCGCCCCCCTCCTCCCCGTCCTCGCCCTCCGCCTCGCCGCTCCGCCGCCCGTCCGCCGGCTCGGCCGCCTTCTCGGGCCTGCGGTCGTTGGTGTTCTTGGCCCGCAGCACCGTGACGTGCTCGGCGGGGCACACCAGGCCCAGGAAGATGAGGTCGGCGTCGCTGCTCACGAGGCAGTGGCTCTGGTGGGGGCGCTGCCGGATGACCTCCATGATCTTGTGCTCGCCCTCGCCGGGGTCCAGGTCGCTCGAGAAGACGACGGCCGCGCCCTGCAGCTCCGGCAGCTGCGCGGTCGCCTTGGCCCACGAGTTCATGCGCGCGCTCAGGCGCACCATGAACGGCGTGCCCGGCGTGATGGCGTTTCTGTCGAAGGTCTCCACCACTCCGTCCAAGGTCCCCGCCTGGGCCTCCAGGCCTTTCGCGGCGCGGAAGCGGCGCGACCTCTGCTGGTTCATCTTGGCGCGCGGCGCCACGCCATCGAGCGCGACGTAGAGCAAGACCCGGGGCCGCGCGACGGACAGCAGCAGTTCCAGCTGCGCCTCGATGAGGGCGTAGAGGGCCTCCTCCTGCTCTTGGATGGTCCACTCATTGACGGCGCCGTGCACCACGCCGTTGAAGTCCACGTAGACGTTGTCGAACTCTACCGGCCTGTCCTCTGCGGTGCACTTCTGGCGCAGTCCTGGAACCCTCCTCGTCGCCCACCGATAAAAACCCGGCACGCCCATCTGGAGGAGGAGGAGGAAGAGGAGGAGGAGGAAGAAGAAGAGGAGGTAGAGTGTGGATGACGACGGGGATGACGAGGAGGAAGAGGCGGTTCTGAGGAGGGGGAGGATCAGAGGAGGCGTACGACGGAAGTCTTTCTCCTTCACCGCTTACTTACACTTCCACCCTCCCCCTCTGGCCTTTAATCCTCCTCCTCATCCTCACTTCTCCGCCGAGGGCCTCCTGGAGGAGGTGGACGTGGAGAACGAGGAGAACGAGGAGGAAGCACCCCCGCGCGCCCCGCCCCGTCCGACCCCCCGCGCGGGGGGCCTCGCCAAGACAGCACGGCGCTCGAGCCAAGGTGGCTAGACGGTCTTCCCGCTCCTCCTTGCTCGGGGGCGCGCAAACATGGACTAGCAATCCATGGATTGGGCGCGCGGTCGCCAAATCCATGGATCCGGGGAGGTGCTCTCCCCGAAATAAGGCCGGTGCCGCCTCGCTCGGCGGCGGAAATCAGAGAGTTCCCTAAGAAAAGGGACCCGTCACTAATCCACGCCCCCTTGCTCCATGCTTGCGATCGCCTGACTTGCTCTCCCTCCCGCGCAGCTCCCGCGCAGCTCTTGCAGCCCCTCCCCCCCGAAGCTAGCCGAATGCCCCCTCCTCGGCCTCCTCCTCCTCCTCCTCCTCCTCCTCCTTGTCCTCCTCCTTGTCCTCCTCCTCCTCCTCCTCCTCCTCCTCCTCCTCCTCCTCCTCCTGCTCGTCTTCCTAAGTGCCTCAAGCCCGCGGGGTCTCCTCGGGCGCGTCACGCGCGCGTGCATATAGAGCCACCGCGCCACCAGAAAAGGCACGCGCAGCAAGGGAGCGAGAGGGCTTCTTCTACCCACGGCGAGCCTCCTCCTTCTTCGTCTTCTGCTTGTTGTTATTATTTCTAATACTCGTAATACAAAAAAAGAGTACCGTTATTATGTTTACAATTTGTTTTGCTTGTCTAGGTTGTAATCCTATTAATATTAATAGTAGTAGTATTGTCAATACGTTGGCTACTCCGAGTTTCTTAATAAGCGTGGGGGGGGGGCGTCACCCCCACCGACAGCCGACAGTCCCAAATCGACCCCCGTCGCGGGCAGCCACCGCGCGCCGAAGGCGCTCCGACCCCCGTCGCGGCGCGACGACGATGCGAGGTCGACCCCCGTCGGGGGGGTGCCCCCCCCCCACGCTTATCAAGAAACCCAGACTAGGCCACAGACGGGTTCCGCGGCACAAGCTGCTCTGAGGCACGGCCCGAATACCCGAGCCCCTCCTGAGCCCGACGCGGCCCTTCTGCTTCAGCGCCGTGACTGCACGTGCCAACTCGGCTGCGAACGACGACGCCATGACTCTTAGGTCGGGCCTGTCCCCTTACAGGGGGATTCTGGACGAACAATAAAAAACCATTACAACATGTTCCAAAAATATGCAAAAATCGCTCAAAACCGTCCCCAGACTATTTTTTATCATTTTTAGTATTCCCCCTGTAGAGGGATAGGCCCGACTTGAGATTTCTCTAGGCCTCCCAGATGGGGGCGGAGTAGATGGGGTCGGATGGTCGCGCCGCATCACCGATGCACCATGCGGCACGCCTAGACGAGGCGGGCGAAAAGAAGGACCAGACAAAACAAGAACACTTGCGATCCACTGCCTGTCACTACCATTTCAACCGAAACTGCGGCTGGCCTTGCAGCACGACGCCAGATTTGATCTGTCTGCGCGGTGAAGAGGGCCATGGGCAATGCCATTCGACCACCGTGAATTCGAAAGACACTGGTCGCATCGGACCACTGACTAGGGCAGAGGATCCCCCCCCCCCACACAGGATGCGCGAACACTTCACCCGATGTCTGAATCCATACCAGCGCAGTCTAGCATGCACTCCATGGTGAGAGGGCAGGGGGGCGAGCGAAAAACGGAAAGCAGCGGCGGCAGCAGAGAAGGGGGTGTGCAATACATGCTGGCTGTGGGTCTCTACGCGTCCCCTGGCGCGCGCGGCGCAGTGGCTAGGATTGCACCGCACATGGTTCAGGCGGAGGAGGAGGAGAAGGACGGGAACCCAGACATCCAGCTGCTCCAACTTTTGTCGATGCGTGGGCCCCGGAGGTCTGGACAGCTTCTCGAGGGCCGGCTCTTCGTCCTGAGTCGAGTTCGGACGCTCCCGAAACCTGGCGAGGGCCCCCAGAGGCCGAAAACGGCCAAGAACCGCCTGCTCATTTTTTTTGCTGGAGCGCCGGATCTCAAGTAAAGACGAGGAGAGATGGGAGTGGAGGGCAGGGGGCGTGGCGAGGAGGAGGAGGAGGAGGAGCAAGCCATGGCCGCGCGAGGCGTACCTGCGCGCAGTGCGGCGCAGGCGAGGGCGGCGCGCGCGCCGGTTGGGGTGTCCTGTCTTCTGCAGGTCGGGGAGCAGGACGATCGTGTCCAGCTTGGCGCCCGAGAACTGGACGCTGGCGCTCCTCGCTCGGATGGATGCTGGGGAGGGGAGGGAGGAGGGAGGAAGGAAGGGAGGAGGGTAGGAATGAATGATGGGCCGATTTTCCACCACCGCTACCACAGGCAGGAGCGGGAGGAGGAGGAAGAGGAGGGGGAGGAGGAGGAGGAGGACCTCCCCATCCTCCCGTCTCCCCCGTGGTGGTGGAGCATCTGCCCATCAATGGATGGGAGACGGGGAGGGACGAGGGGGCGGGCAGCGGGGCAAGGGGGAGGACGAGGAGGCGGACGGGGAGAGAGAGAGAGAGAGAGAGAGAGAGTGAGAGAGAGAGAGAGAGAGCCGAAGAGGGCGGACAGGAAGGGAGAGAACGCGATGGAGTGAGCGCTCCCTTGGAAGAGCCCTGGAGCCAACACCCCCGCCGACCGCAAGGCTCGCGACAGCAGCGCCCGCGCCCTGGCGGACTGCCTCGCGATCGCACGGCACCTGGCCTCCAGGAGGGAGGGAACGCGACCAGCTGAGCACCTACAGTGAAGGCCCGTCCACAAGAAACCTTCCACAAGAAACCCAACCCTGAGACCCCAGGACGTCCATCGGTTTTTGGTGTGGGAACGTCACGTCTTCCACTACAGAACCATCGAAATCCAAGAAACCCAGGGCACCCTGGAGGCAAGCAGGGTGTTCCTTGGCATGGGCCCCCACTGTACGGTAGGCTCGTGTCGTGCCAACCCTGGCGTTGGCTTCTGACACCGCGCTGAATCTTTCAATCTTGAACGATCGGCCGTTTCCGAAACTTTGGATCGTTCAGCATCGACCGATTCTGGGTCGCCAACGGCGTTCAACGTTGAACGCCGGCGGCGGAGTCGCCGCTGGTCGACACGACGCGAACCTACCGTACCCTTCTCGCGGAGGGAGTCTAAGGACGACAGGAGGAGGTCGGAGGCAATCCCTGAGCCGAGCAGCTCGGCACGATGCGGATCGCAGAGTCGATGGACGAGCAAAACATCGATCGAGGGGAGGTCAGGAACAGAGGCAGGCAAGGACGGCACACGATTCTCGAGGGCACTCAGAGCTACTGGACACCGATAATAGTGACGTGCACAACCACCTTCGACATCATGGCATCCGAATCGACACGGTCCCATCCAACACCCATTGTGACCAAATCTGCTATGGTCGTGCGCCATCGATCACACACGGCCCACATGTGTGCAAGTACTATGATGAAGGGCAATTCCTGTGTCATCGAGCCGAGGTTGAGAAACAGTCTATCGGCGTGGGCCATGTTTAACGAGGACTCGAAGTGCTGCAATCTAGAGAGTAGAAGCTGAGCGGCGGAGGGACCGAACCCAACCTTTTCAGCATGATGTGGATGTGTTTTCTGGAGGTCGGAGGGGTGTCGATCACCTGGGCATCGATGGACTACCTCAAGCAAGAGTACATGCGAAGGAGGAGGAGGAGGAGGAGGAGGAAGAGGAAGAGGAGGCCAAGAAGGAGAAGCACCAGGAGGAGGGCAAACATGAGAGGAATTCGAAGAAGGGGGAAGGATACAAAACAAATGATGAGGACGGGGCACGGCACCATAGTTAGGATGTGCAGGGCGGAAACCGATCACTGCGAGGATGAAAACGAGACGGGTTGAGTAGATGCCAGTCGTAAGAAGTAGCAGCAAGAAAAGACATGCGAACTGGAACAATCGCATAGCAAGAGTAACACCAGTAGGGTAATACTTATTGATGATGGCTATGGTGCCTATCGTTTCTTTCCCAATTCGAAGGTGCCCCTCGATGCTCGCACCTGTTGTGTTTCCAAAGATGGCCTTGGTGCCCAAACTGTGATCAACGGTCCCCACCTCACCTCACTAGAGTCGTGTTCTCGCCAAATATGTCCTTGCAACTTGCTCAGAGGTTGGCCTGTCGCCTGAGACTTCTCTCCAATCGAAAAAGGGTTTGCGCTCGCGCCCTCCAAGATTCTTTTTTTCGCGGGAGACTTTCTGAGAGTTTCGTCAGTGATAACGCTGTCGTCTGGGCCTTCCTTACCATTTGCTTAGGGAGCGCCCTCGAGCAGTGCAAGATTCGCCGCGCTCTCGCCTGGTCGCAGGCTGCCTTGGAACGCCCACTCTTGAAGCTGTCACCATTTTCGGCCTCCTCTCTCATCCTCCCTCACTCCACCTAAAACAAGGCTAGGATCGGGATAAATCGCTCCAGAGCGTTCCAAAGCGCTCTCAGAGCGTTCCGGAACGCTCTGGAGCGGCCGCGGCGCCCAATACATCCTCCAAACCCGCCGATTCTCAGAGATTTCGAGTTATCCCGATCCGATTTTGTCCCGATCTTAGCGTCGTTTTACCACCTTCCTCCCGCCCTCGTCTACTTCCCCTCCCTCACTCATCCCCTCCGTCCCCGACGCAGTCCCACGCGGCCCGCCCCGCCCGCGCGACCGACCCCGACCTTCCGAGGCATAGAACGGACCCGGCGCGACCCGACCGCCCGCGCAAAGGAGCCTCCCCGACCCGACCCTCCAAGGCGAGGGTCCACCTAGTGAGCGTTTTTTTTTTTTTCCTTTTTTTTTAATTTTTTTTTTTTTTTATTCGGCGTTTCGACATTGGTGGAGGGATGAAAAAACGACCATACCCTGGGTTGTAAGTGCGTGGTCTGTAAACCTCCTGGGAACTCCCAAAAAGCCTAGAGCCGCCAGGACGCGGCACATCACGCAGGGTTTTTACCCTGTCAGCCCACAGAAGTTTCAGCGCACACCGCCTCGTAAACCAGGGTAGGGGCGTTTCTTCTGCCTTTGAATTGGGCGGAAGAGGGGGGAGGGGGGGGGGCCTGGCTCCGGACCTCTGCTTCGCGCGGCTGGCTGTTCGGGACCGTGCGTCCTGTGGGGGGGGGAACCCCACCTGCCCGAAACAGGCGCCAAAGACAGGCAGGACCTACTCCATTTGTGGGGGGGGGGAGGGGGGGGGGGGGGGCGCGCCGATCGGCAAAACAATAAATAAGAAAACGATCACCCGAACTGCTACGACGACCACGTGTTTGGGTCCAACCGCGCGCTCGCCTGTCCACCGTCGCGAACTTTTACTTCGCGTCTCGAAGCGGCGGCCCCAAAGGGCACGCGGTGCCTTGCAAGCTGACGGGGTATCGCTCCGCTCCGCGGAGCGGGGGGGCCGGGAACGGCTCGAGACGTTGATGCTTGGGGACTGGGACGTGGCTAGCGTGTCGCGCCGAAGCGTGGTGGGCCAGAATCGGCGGCGCAGCACGCTGAGCAACAATTTCGGACCGTAAGTTCGCCCGCTCCGCAAGGAGAATAACTTCAAAGGGGTACGATCGAAGACGAAGACGGCGCGAGTCGACGGGAGCGGGGAAGGGTACGCGAGAGAGTAAAAGCTGGCATCCCTAAGTAGCGTGATTTTGCTGCTGTGGTACATGGGCATCCCGTGTAGCAGCGGTTGTGCGGTCGAAGCCTTGCTCGACAAAAACATTGTCTGGGGAATGAGGCCCCCTGTCGGCCACAGTTGCGCCCAAGTGCACGATGGGCGCCCGAGGAGACACCACTGGAAAGATCCAAGGGACACAGAGCCCCCATCCAGAACTGCCCCGGTCCTTGTTCCAACTTGTTTGCCATAGTAGTGGTAGCCAGCGCAACAAACTTCAGAACGATGATGCCACCAACAACCATACGACCACGGCGGCTTGGTCACATTATTCGTATTCCGGACAGGGTGGAGCCCGCGGCTGAGAATGTATTTCCACAACTACCAGTAACGCCGACACACGGGCCAATATCTGCGCGGACATCAGCGCAAGTACCAACACGGAATTCATCAACGTCATCGCCTGCACCATCGACACTATCAAGAGAGAACTTTCGCAAAAGCATCGACACACGTAAATCACCATCTCCATCAATACCTATATCAACCTCAACGCACAAACAATCAACAACCCTGTAAGCGTTACCAGTGACCTTGAAACCATCAGCGCATCGGCGTCAACACCGTCATCACCAGCATCGGTGTCTGAGCTGATCATCCCAACACGGTGGAAGAACATTTGTCCACCCTGCAACCTCAACACAACGTGGCATTAAACGCATCAATGACAACACATCGATCGACGCCGACTCCACCCCACTCAAGATTGACAGGGCCGGGCCCGAGGCAGCGGGCGGGTGTCAACGTGTAGACTCATGTAGACCCTTCAGCTTACAGCGATTAAGAGAGAGGGGGGTCGTCATAAAATTGACGCTGGCCGCGTAGCTTAACGTGAGACTGCGTTCGCTTCCAGGGGTCGCTGATCCGTGCGGCCCCAGACCTTCCCGTGCCCTGGCTGACTCAGCCTGGCGATTTTGCCGCCATGCGGACAGGACGGCACGGACGAGCCAGAGCTGTGGTACACCCGCTCGCCCGAATGGCCAACCGCAAATGGACCTGGCTCTAGCTGGCTCACACCATCTGCGACACCGCGACACTGGCCTGGCAAGGCATACGACATGATGAGGAAGATGAGGAAGATGAGGAGGAGGAGGAGGAGGAGGAAGAGAAGAAGAAGAAGAAGAAGAAGAAGAGAAGAAGAAGGATCCGTACGAGACTAGGTCTAGAACTGCTGCGCACAACGACACGTTCTGCCATCGAAACGACCGCCGACACGACCACCGACGCATGCTCGACGCGAAGAGATGTCCGACAGACTGGGCCGGCGGCAAGCAGCGGTGAGACGGATGACATCTGGGTGCCTCTCTCACCGCTTCCGCGGCAGGGCACCTCCCACAGCGAAGCCACCGGGCGGACTCTCCCCTGAGCCGTGCAGGCAAAGCCATCGCACGAGGAGGGAGGAGGAGGAGGAGGAGGAGGAGGAGGCAGATGGAGCAGTGAGCGGTCTCCTGGGCCAGACGGCACCCTCATCATCCACAGGCGCAGCTCCGGAATTGCTAGAGCCGACGTGCTCCTGGCCTCAGGTGCGCCCGGCTTTCCGCCTCATCCTGGGGCCTCTCCTCCTCCTCCTCCTCCTCCTCCTCCTCCTCCTCCTCCTCCTCCTCCTCCTCCTCCTCCTCCTGCTCCTGCTCCTGCTCCTGCTCCTGCTCCTCCTCCTCCTCCTCCTCCTCCTCCTCCTCCTCCTCCTCCTCTCCGGGCCTCGTGATGGCGTGGTCCGGAAGACATCCGCGCCTCATCGAGAAAGCTGCGGCCACCTGGGCCAAGGCCACGTCTGGCACTACCCGAGCACAAGGGCAAGCAGGGGCCCGCCCGCCCGCCGGTCCCGACGCGCACGCTGATCGGCGATGCCCACGGGTCGTGCGGCCTGTTCATCGGCTCGTAGCCGCCACCCCCAGAGTCGCTGACGCGGTAATACTTCCTGCCGCCCCCATTTCCACCGCCGGCGCGCTGGAGCAGCCTGCCCGCCACATGCCCGCCACAGGCCGAGCACCCTGTGCGCTCGCGGGCGCACGCCGTCCTTCAGCGCCCAGACCCTCCGACGCGGGCACCTTACGAAGCCCCCTGCCCCCGCTCTGCCTCTCTGGCGCGATCGGGGGACACTCCCGCTGGCTGATCCCCTGCGCAACGCCTAGGGCATGCGCTCCCAGATCTGCTGCTGTTCTCTGGCACCCCAGAAAGCTATTCGACGCGGGGATCCCCACATGCGTCGTTCCCTTAATGGTGTTTCAGTGTACGTGAAGGCCAAAGCAAACGCCCCGCTCACACAACCACAATCTGGGCGCAAACAGGCCCGTGCGTGCAACACTCTTGGTCGGCTCCCCTTTGGGTGCCCAAATGTTCTGCCTGCTCCATCGCGATGACTTTGGGTCTCTGTAAAGCAGCACGTCGACCCGCCAAAACAGAAACCTCGCTGGAGACATCCCCAGATCTCTGGACGCGAACAGGCCCGTGCGGGACCGGTAGCCGGCTCCCCTTTGGGTTTCCCAAGTGTTACGACTGCTGCATCGCTGTGATTTGGGAACCCTGAAAAGGGGCACGTCCACCTCGCTCGAGACATCCCGACAATCTGCAATCGTACATATTTCTAGAAACTGTAAATTTATAGAACCAACAGCAATACCACCACCAACACCACCACCACCACCAACACCATTCATTTTAAGACTGTTCGCTCTTACCTTCTCGCGTGCTATTCAATACGTATATCCCACACCCTCGATCGCCGCCCTGTTCGTCTTCGATCGTGCCGCCTTGGGGGTCTTCCCTTTGTCTTACCTGCAACGTGAATTCCGTGCAGCCCGCGCAGCATTCTTGGTCGCCCCCCCCCCCCCCGGGGGGTGCCCGCAGGGCGTGCCTGCCGCGCGGCCGCCGTCACGAGTGGGCGAGCCCGAGCGTCAGTGGCGAGTCCGACTTCTTGGAGACCGCTGGCGTCCGACATGGCCCAGAGAGGGCCCCGATGGCCTGCAAGGAAGGGGCCCTGGGGCGCACAAATAGATAGACACAGATAACGGGATTGCCCATATTTTCCCGTATTTTCTGGGTCTTCGTCTTCCCCCCCCCTTCCCATATTTGCCCGCATTTTCTGGGGAATCGACGATTCGTTGTGCCTGTGTGTTTTTGTCCCTCCTGATGCAAGGGGGGCCCCAAAGAGAGCCCCAAAGTGAGCCCCAAGAGGGCCCCACGAGGTCTGCGAGAGGGCCAAAGAGGCCTCCGGAAGGGCCCCAAGAGAGCCCTGAGCCCAAGAGGCCTCTGAGGCGCTCCCGGGGCAAAAGATCTGCAAACGCCTTGATGGTTGACTCTTGTCGTCGTCATCGTCGTTGTCGTCGTCGTCGCCGCCGTCGTCGTCAGGTGTCGGCGTCGTCGTCGTCCTCGTCGTCCTCGTCGTCGTCGTCGTCCTCGTCGTTGTCGTCATCGTCGTCGTTGTTGTCATCAGGTGTCGGCGTCGGCGTCGGCGTCGGAGTCGGAGTCGTCGTCGTCGTCGTCGTCAAGCGTCGGCGTCAGCGTCGGCGTCGGCGTCGGCGTCGGAATCGGCGTCGTCGTCGTCGTCGGAATCGGCGTCGTCAAGACTCTTAGGGGCATCTTGGAGCCTGCTGGGAAGGCACTAGTCCAAGTCTGCAACAGACAACCACGCAGCACATCGATTCAAGTATGAAAAGCATACTTCGCGCAGTACACGATACGACAAACAATCACTCAACCACAACCAATACGACAACGAGGAACCGCAAGCGCAGAACAACGTCCGCGCCACGCGCGCACAACGGGCAACGACAGGGACCCACTCAGCCATGGCAGCCACAAGCAACCACGAAGCACACGCAGTCCCGGTGCAGACGAAGAAGGACGAGAAAGCGGCGGAGAGGGACGAACACGGAGGAAGGGGGTTCACTGCTGGGCCGCATGCTGCTACACATTCTTGAGCAGGGCAACTCGCCTGGTGTCTGTTTCTGGATGAGCTGGTTGGGACACGTGAAGCGTCAAGGTTTTGAGTGAGTTTGAGTTTGAGTGGACATGAGTATGATTGTTCTGCGTGTGAGTACGAATCCTGGTTGAACTGATGACGACTGGATCCCAGCTTGGGTAAGTTTAAGTGTGAGCCAATCTGAGGGTGAGCGGGTCCAAATACCAAATACGGGAGGTTCTGAGTGTGAAGAGTCAAATTGACAATGATATGCGCGTATGGGCCTGGCTATGACTACACTGAATATGAGTAGATCTTAGCGTGAGCGGTCTGAGTACACATGATCCAGGTTTCCCCCCCAATGCATATGAGATCGAGCCCCCCCTCGCTGTATGGTTACGCCCGTGAGCCTCGCGAAAGCCTCGCGAGTGGGATCGCTACCCCCCCGTGGGTGGTTGTCTCAACTGAACTCGAGCTGTGGGCAAGCTAGGGAGCTGTCGAGCACATCGCCATGATACCGCACACTCTCGCGCGCGCTACATGCGACATTGCCACGCTCGCATGCCAGTCGCACACATGGCACGGAGGATTTTCACCGAGCATTCGATCACGCTGCGTTCGCTACCAGTGGGCGATGCTGCAGGTTGCGGGGCAGGCGGACCTCACGCATGGCGGGGGAGGCCGAGACGGAGGGCGTGAAGGAGCAGCACGGGGCGGAGGCTGTGACGCGCGAGGGGGCGATGGCGGACGAGATCAGCTTGCAGCCCAGCGCGGAGACGCCCACCCGACCGCCCTCCCTGGAGGCCTCCTGAATGGGGTCGGAGTTGATGGGGTCGGAGGATCGCGCCGCATCGCCGATGCATCGGCGATGCATCGGCGATGTATCGGCGCCCCCCATTCGAGATGAGACGCATTTTGCGAAACAGAAAGTCACCAGGCACATTCGTTAACGGTATCGAGACGTCTTAATTCGCCTTGGAATCATAGCTGCGACTGGAAAATAACTGTAGATATATCACGAGAGATGATGTACGTTTCTCAATTCAAATCGAGATTTAGGTCAGCTACGAATATGGGATGCACTCTAATCGACAGGGTATGCTGAGAAGCACCAGTCTAAAGTATCTAGACGCCTGATATCGGTCTGCTACAGAGACGCGACCAAATAACTGTTTGCAATCTTGCATTTATATTAGAGACGGTGTTAGATTTCTGTACTCAGTTCGGGTTATGCTTGGCGGGCTGGGAAGCACACCGCTGAAGAGAAAGTCATCAGATGCAGTCGCCAAGTATCGAGATGTGTGAGGCCTGCTACCAGAGCTACAACTGAACAGCGATTTGCACTCTGCGTTTTTTTGAGAGAGATGATGCATGTTCTGCAGGCTAGATATGAAGCTCAGATATACACCAATCGACAAGAAATGCTGAGAAGCGCTAGTTGAAAGCATTTAGACGGCTGAGATCGGTCTGCTACCAGAACTGCGAATAAACAACTATTTGCGCTCTTCAAGTTTTAGATAGGCAGTGTTGGATTCTCTACTTAATTCGAGCTGTAGGCAAGCTACAGAGCTCGGACGCAGACTGTTCGTATGGGAATGATCACGAGCGTTAGTTTGCAGTATCATCATCATGGTCAGCATCATCATCACCACCACCATCATCACCAGCAGCACCATCACCATCAGCATCATTATCACCACCGCCATCACCATCACTGTCGTCATCATGGTCAGCATCATCATCATCGTCATCATCATCATCATCATCATCGTCATCACCATCATCGTCATTATTGCCATTATCATTCATCGTTCGTATCATCCTCCTCATTACCATACGAGAGGAGGAAGGGAAGGAGGAGGAAGGTGAGGTGTGAGGAGGAGTCAGCGCGGTCAGAATAAGATCAAGAAACTCATCCTCAGGATATTGGGAACACGAGCCACATGCTTAGCCAGGATCTGGCAAATAGTCTATAGCGCACCCTCCCTTTCATCCTTGGCTACCCGCGCCTTCTGGCAAGAAAGCCTTATCGATCCGCCTCTGCGTTTGTGATACTGGTAGCCAGTGACAAGCATACAGAGATGGTGATGTTGGGCTCCTCCTCCTGCTCCTCCATCACTTAAGGGAGAACAGAAGGGGACTGCACTGGGGCTGCCTTAGAATTTCCGCGAGGCCAGCCTGAAGACCGCAAAATCGTGCCATTGCTATCTCTGAAGACGAAGCTGGGCTGGAGAACATGGTCCATCCATCCGTGCGTCTCCTTCATGCTCTCTTCTTCCGCCCGCCCCCTCCCGCTGATCTTGCTGAAGAATATCCAGGGCTTGTACTTGCCCGTCTTATCCTGAGGGACACTAGCCAGAGAGTGCGCGGGCTTCAAGCATATAATAGCGGCAGGGGTGACTGAGAGGCACTATCAGAAGAATGCCTTGCATAAACAATCGCATCTTCCTTATTCGCCGTGTATGGTCGGATGTTGGAGGGTGAGAACAAAGTGACACCGACCGGGACATCAGTTTTGGTTTCGCTTCGTGCCGCGCGTGCGGGCGAGGCAGAACTGCGCAAGTCAGAAGATGTGTCGGCGTAGCTGGGGCCAAACAAATGGGCGATTTCGGAAACTCTGAACCAAAAAAAACGTTGTTCACCTCTTTGGGGCACGTTTTTACTTCCGCCGCCTTCTGCCGAGCTTCCGCCGAGCTTCCGCCGACTTCCGCAAGCGGAGGCGGCCTCGTTTTTCTTCCGCCGACCTTCCGACGCCCTCCACCGAGGAAGAAGAGACATCTCCGTCGATCCTCGAGTGTGATGATGATGATGATGATGATGATGATCATCATCATCATCATCATCATCACCATCATCATCACCATCATCATCATCATCATCATCAGCATCACCATCATCATCATCATCATCATCATCATCATCATCATCACCTCCGTCTCCGTCTCCGTCTCCGCCTCCGCCTCCTCCTCCGCCTCCTCCTCCTCCTCCTACCGCTTCCACCATCCAGCCATGCCTCC